GAGATCATCATGCACACAAAGTATATAATATTTTATTTTTTCATACTGTGAATATCACTATTTGATTGGGACCTTTTTGTGAAAAATCAGCATTAAAGGGGTCATGACATGATAAATCAAATTTGCCTTGATCTTTTGGCATATACAAGGTCTCTGTACCATTAAAACATCCTGCACGTTTCATAGCTTTAAACATCCTCCTCATTATAAACACAACATTTATTTAATCAAGCTCTAAAAACGTCTCGTTTGGATCCAGTGGGACAAGGTGACGTCACCCTAGTCTCGTGTAGCCAGACCTTTAGACTGACGGCTGAAGGTCTGGAATCCATGGCAGCTTTCATTGGCCAAGGCCCGCCCATGAGGCCGTTTGACCGACATGTCAAACAACCAATCACAGTTCGTTTCGTTTCAGCGTCACATTTCGGGGCGTGGAAATGTCGCCACAATAACAGACCGGTGTGTAAAACTCTCAGACGTATTTTAAAGATTCTATGCCATGAGCTAAATATTTCACATACTTTTGAGAATCCAGCATTTAGTTTATCCTGATAAACGCTCGTCATCACAGTTGTAAACACGACGGCTTTCTTCTTTCGTGAGGGGGTTTGGCATCACCGCATCTTTGTTTCCAGGCGGAACGTTAAAGAACCCAACACACATGTCTCCTGGAAATCCTGTTTAATTCAACCAGTCCGATGATGACTTTGAAACTCCTGAAGTGTTTCCACTTTTGTGTGCCGTATGCATCAGACGTTCAGCCAACGGTTCGTGGGCGTGACGTCTGAGGATGAGACCAATGCCGAGTTCACACTGCACGATTTTCAAACTCGTCGGATCGCCGTTGTTTTCACACTGCGTGACTATCTGGGGTAACATTCAGTTGCTGCTGTGTTCACATTGCACGATGGATCGGCGACAGGGGGTTTCACACTGCATGACTTCACAATAGGAAGAATCGCCGACAGCTCTGTCTGGACCACAAACTACGTTTCACAACAAAACACACACGTCAGGAGTTATCGCGAGCAAGACTGTAATGATTAAAAAATATATATATAGCCCGCAAATTGTCTGTGAGCTGATTTCCAGCTACAAGGAGAAAAAGAAAAGCAGATTATGCAGGAGGGAGCTGCAGGGAACAGGGATTGGGTGTTCTGCAAAGAGAGTTGGAGGTAAATAATTTAGCATTAACTGTTATGCTGATGTGTGGCGATTTCGCAAAACCTGTCAGCGAGTGAAAAATCGGGCTAAAATCATGCAGTGTGAACTCGGCATTACGTCACCCGGGCACAAAGATTTGCATAAACACCGCCTCCAGAGCAAGACATCGACCTAGGCTCCGCCCACCGGCATTCAGTCTGTTTTGATCATCATGCTGAATGCGAGTGTTGCATCGTGTCAAAAGCAAACAGAAATTGCAGTCACTGCCTCTATCTTGTCTACTCTGGATACAGTATAGAGATGCACATTCACTTTCTGACACAGTCCACACACTTGAGTCTGTCGACAATCAGGCAAATAGAGTAAAACAGGGCTGTCCAAACTCGGTCCTGGAAGGCCGGTGTCCTGCAGAGTTTAGCTCCAACTTGCTTCAACACACCTGACTGGAAGTTTCTATGCCTAGTAAGAGCTTAATTAGCTGGTTCAGGTGTGTTTAATAAGGGTTGCAGCTAAACTCTGCAGGACACCGGCCCTCCAGGACCGAGTTTGGACAGCCCTGGAGTAAAAGAACGTTTGTGCTTCAACACACCTGACTGGAAGTTTCTATGCCTAGTAAGAGCTTAATTAGCTGGTTCAGGTGTGTTTAATTAGGGTTGGAGCTAAACTCTGCAGGACACCGGCCCTCCAGGACCGAGTTTGGACAGCCCTGGAGTAAAAGAACGTTTGCTTTGATGCGTTTGGTTTAAACAGCTCGTTCGCGTCTTTGTACAGCTACCAGAAGGATCCCAGCGTAAGAAACAAATGGATAGTTTATTTTAAATGGCACCCCGGATCGTGTCAGAGGATTGATCAGAGGATTTTGTTTTGTAATCGAGGCACAGTGTCATGGAGAGTTCACAAAGAAACATTTGTTGAAAGATGAAGCTGTACTAGATCTGACTGCAGCTGCATCACTAACCGTAAGTAAATTATTTGATTATGCTTTGTCTGGAAATGACCGTTTTATTTTGATTATGTTGTCAAAACACTCAAAACATGCAATAGCGAGGTGGCATTGATACTGTTTCATATGCAATACCGTTAGCCAATCATAACAGTGGCCGAATACTGAGAAGTGTTAAAGGACCCGCCTCTTAAAAACAGGCTGTTTCTGAGGTTCAGAATGAGGGTTGAAAAAAAAAAACTCATGGAACATTTTAAAATGATTTTAAAAAATCCATGTCATGACCCCTTTAATGAGTTTAGTATTTTGTAGTAAAGTGGCTTCCCTATAGAGCAGAAGTCAACAGTTTTATGTGAGCATAAATGAAAAATCCTTGCAACGACATGCTGATCACACAGACTGACACCTCAGACACACTCGCACCGTCACACGCTTACACAAACATGATATTGACACCTCAGACACAGATACACACTCAAACAGACACTATTGACACCTTATACACACAGTAACAAACTGCCATCAAATGCAAGCATCCAGCATTAGACACATTCTCATGCACAAGCTGTTGTTTTTTTTCTACCAACAGATCAAACCACATTTCTGTACAGATATAAATAGTCAATACCACAGCAGAGTTCACCTTGTCACCTTTTGACAAATAGTTTGCATCTATGTTTTGCAAACATGAAAATGCTGCAGTGAAAATGCTCATCCATAGACCATAGTGTCTGAGGTTGTTGCAGGAGGTTCCCAATGAAAATGATCTGACAATAAGGGTCTTGTACTTAGAACAACATTAAAGTTTGATTATCTTCTGATTTTGATTGGTGCATATTCCACATGATCCTCTTCAACTTTCTGTAAAGAAATGTATAACACAATATATAATAATAATAATAATAATAATAATAATAATGAATAATGTTAAGAATAACAACAATATTAATAATAAATGTAATGTTTTTTTTTTTGTAGTACCAAGTCTTTTATAAACACATGGTGCAGTTGTGTGATAGATTATTATGCTATGAAAGCTCATTACTGCCTTCGGCCTGTCGCAATAATATATTGAGTTATTGCACAAAATATGTAAAATGCAGACATGTGTAAAGAAGGCAACATTTGAGGCCCTATAGTGTTTTCCTTACAGTATGTAAAGTCTGAATCGACTCAAAGCCACAGTTCACAGTTCTGGTACATATGTGAATGTAACAACACAAAATGGTGCTCTCTCACAGCTAGCGTTAAGGGAGTTTCACAAAGGAGAGAATGCATTTTTGCATTCCGCTTGTGCTGTTTATTATTATTAAAAAAATGTTTTGTTGTTTAGTTTCTATGTAACCGTGCAATAGATGGATGTGTTTGACTGTCTTTTGCAGCATCTTGTGCATGCAATATTATGCATGCACTACTGCACTACTTGCATTGCTATGCTATTATATTATCATTATATATTTAGTGGCATAAAATGACAATAATACCACACTTATTTCTGGGACAATACATTGCCCAACAAAATAGTTATTGTGACAATAAGAAAAAAATAAAAATAATAATGCTCTGGTAAATCATAATTTAAAAAAAGTCAAAATTAAAAGAAAAGTCAAAATGATGTGATTAAAAATTACAAATTATAACATACTTAAGTCAGATAATGATATATGCAAGTTAAAAATAGTATGTCATAATTTCAATATTTTATATTAGAATTTTAAATTGTTAATCTCATTATTTAAACTTTGTATATGAGATTTTCAACTTTTTAAGTTAGAATTTGTAATTTTGAATCTCATACTTTCAATTTAGTATGTCATAATTTCTGTGATTTACCAGAACATGATTTGTTTTTCTTAAGTAGTGGAATTGGACTTAAATATTATCCAGACAAAATCAAAAGTACACACTGATCTACATCGGACTCTCTTCTAAAATTATAAGGTAGCCGTTTACAGTAAGGTTTCATTAGTTAACATTACTTAACTACTTTAGTTAACATGAACTAAGAAATGACAATACTTCTACAGCATTTTTAATCTTAGTTCATATTAAATTAAACATTTACTAATGCATTATTAAAATCAAAATTTGTATTTGTGTTTGTTAACATAAGTTAATGCACCGTGAACTAACAGTGAACAACTGTATTGTTCATGTTAGTCAATACATTAACTAATGTTAACAAATGACACCTTATTGTAAAGTGTTACCAATTATACAAATACTCAACATATCAACAATACATTGTCTTACCGTTTTCTGTGTGTTTCTTTTGTAGAATGTCGTCTCAGCATAAGTAATCTCTTCTTCACAAGTCTCAACTGTTTTAACAAGAAATTGTTAAAGATTAGATTAATTAAAACCAAAAAACTCAGTCTTAATTAGATCTGGTTCTTCACAGCCTATTTGTTATTATTAGGGCTTTCAAATTTAACACCAAAGTAACACTCAACGATTAATTAGCCATTAGGCCTGTAACTTTTTCTACACACAAATAGTTCCTAAAAGAGTGTTTATCATTACATTTAGAGAGATACATAAATCACACATTCATTTATACATAAATCAAACACAAATGTGATGTTTAACAAAGCAAAGTATTTTACATTTAATCAGCACTTAAGTTCAACAAGCATAACAAAATGTATCATTCATATGAATTTCAGAGCACCAGCCACATCTTTACTTAAACATGTAAGATTATGTTCATAAAATGGAGATCAGATAAAATAGAGAAAGCTTTTTTTGTGTGCAAGTGAGATGAGTAAAGAAAAACAAATAGACATTTATTATAACAATGAAAATTATGAGAATAATTTTAATTAAATGACAAAATAGGGCTATACGTTGGCTAAAATATTGAGAACATATTTTTGAAGAATTATTTCTTATTTTACTTGTTTATAAAGAGAAGATAATACTTGCCAGTTTTTCTGTGTTTCCAGCAGATGCAGAAGATCACGACTGCAGCGACAATCAACAGAGATCCAGCAGCAGCAGCAGAAACAGAGATCAGCACTATCAGAGAAACTGGAGGAACTGAAGTAGAATAAAAGAGAGACAGTCATGAATGTAAGTGAATGCATCAGTCTGATCTACAACAGAACACAGAGTTCAGCTCAGTAATTAAACACATACTGTATATCAGCGCTGCTGTACCTGAAAATGTGTGACAGAGTTGTTTGATGTTCAGGTGTATCGTCTGGTTAGTGAATGAATTGTTGAGCACACAGCTGTAGGTGTTTTTCTCCTGATATTCCACCTCCAGAGGTAGAGAGAGACTGATGCTGAGATCAGACACACTGATGCTGGACAATAAACTGTTTCCTTTGTACCAGGAGAGAGTCACATGACTCACATTCACCACTGAACACACCAGTGAACAATTCTGCTGTGATGATGATGATGAACATTGTGAAGAGTTACTGCTGATGACAGGAACAGGCAGACGAGCTGGAAAAAAAAACGTGAGAATAAGAGGAATATTAACACAATTGTCTCATTTTCAACATTGTGAATTGTAGTGAATCTGTAAATTTTGTTTTGAATTTTAGTGTGTTAACAGTCGCTGAATGTGTCTGTCATCTCAAAATATAAAATACATAAATATTTGACTATGTAAATAGAATAAGTGAACATTTCAACAAATGATCTCTACTCACCATAGACAGCAACACTGAATGTTGTTGAAGTCAGATTCGCTCCAGTTATCTCTAGCTGATAAACTCCAGCATGTTCAGTTGAGATGTTTGTGATGATCAGAGATCCAGTTTGATTGTCCAGCTTCAGTCTATCTCTGAATCTTCCATCAAGAACATCAGATGAGAAGTTTTGCATCTTTTTGTTCATTCTAGCAATTTGAGAATTTTCAGCTCCATATTTCCACACTATACTGTCGCCTTCATGTATTTCAGTAACATTAGTTTTTAAAGTGACAGAATCTCCCTCCATCACCGACACTGACTCACCAAACACACCTGATGAACAGATTTTACATGGATTAAATCCTCTGATGGTTTACAAACCCTGATATCAGCTTTATTTACATGTGAAGTTGAGAACAGCAGCAGAAACCCTCTGTTACAATACAGTGTTAGAATCAAGCAGACAGAGAAAACACTGAAGCAGCACTTACGAATTGCTGGAAATATATTTAAAAATAGCAATTAATAGAGTATATGGCAGCATAATTTATGAAACAGGAGAAAAAACACATATAACAAACTACAGCTCCGAGCCCCCTTCATAGTAGCTTAATGCCACAGTTCTACCACAAGAATGATCTATTTCAAAAATGTCCGTTTTAAACACACAGTAATACACTGGATATTCACAAATACCTTACTGGTGCAACACATCTTTAAATTGTTTTAAAGTGTAGAGGACAATCAATGTTTAAAGTTTCATAATGTATTGACCGTAAATACATGATAATTATTGCAGATTGAAAATACAGTTTTATTTGTGCTAAATATATTCAATACATTTTTTTAAATAAATGAGAGATTTTAGATCACTGGATAGTCTTCTATGCACTATAAGGTTCCATGACATTTTGACTAGTGAGTTTCTATGACATTTGTAGACGTTTATGATAGCTGCAGAAGTGTTTTGAAATATATATATTAGAAATGTATTTTTAAAAGGACAAAATATGGCCTGATATATATTTAGATATTTGAAAGCAGCTCAACAGAAAGTTCACACTTTCTGAACATTTACATTCACTGTAGGAATTTCCATTATTCTTCATGACCTTTTCCACACCTGGAAACTTTCATGTAAACTTCCAAAAACCCCAAAAGAGACCTGAATTCAAAGTTAGTAGATCTTGTATTATATTCAATATTCATGATTTTTTTTTTTCTTTTTGGTACATAACAGCAGATGAAAATAATCTAACTCTAATTTACTCCGAAATGAAAAAAAAAAAACCGTAATTTATTATATATATTTTTTTACTTACCAGTCAGAGTCCAGCAGCACAAACAGAACAAGACAAACTTGTGAAACATGTTCTTCAGTGGTTCAGTGTGCGATCTAACAGCAGACCTGTTAAAGTGTTGTGTGAATCCTCCCCTGGCAGTGTTTGACCCTCCTAGTTCACATCCTGCATTTGCATATGATATATAGTTCAGGGGTGGCGAACGTTGGTCCTGGAGAGCCGCAGTCCTGCAGAGTTTTGCTTCAACCCTAATCAAACACACCCTAACAAGCTAATCAAGGTCTGAAGGGTTACTAGGAAGCTACAGGCTGGTGAGTTTTAATTAGGGTTGGGGCTGAACTCTGCAGGGCTGCGGCTCTTCAGGACCGGAGTTCGCTACCCCTGATATAGTTCATCTAGCCCTTATTACGATTTTTACTGGTTTTAATGGCTAAAAAATATTATTGATTTTTATTAAAAGGTTAAGGGTTCATATTACTGCCTCAGTGACAGCTTTTCTTCTGAGAGTGTAGTTACTGGACTGTGTGAAATGGCTAAAAGTAGAATAATATTGTGTGAATTATGGATGAACTACATTTCATGGTGAAATGGAACAGTTATTTTAAAATTGTTTATTTATTCAAAAGTGAATGGAAAAACCCAGAATACAAATTTAAAACCGTGTTACGATCTCACAGTACCGGCTTTACTGAGGTTTATCTTCTGAGTCAAACTCAAACCAGCTGTGGTTAGTTTTCTAAATCTGATCTATTGGGTGGAAAAAACATGTCAGTGACACTGGGCATTCAGAGCATGAATGTTTAAATTGTAGGTGAGGAGTTTCTTCCTGCTGCTACTATTTACAGCATTGTAAGTTTCTTTAATCTCCTAGAGAAAAAAACCATTAGAAACTTTAGGGTCCAATTCTTAGTAACTGCATGCCATCGCCAGCAACATACGATCTCACAGTACCGGCTTTACTGAGGTTTATCTTCTGAGTCAAACTCAAACCAGCTGTGGTTAGTTTTCTAAATCTGATCTATTGGGTGGAAAAAACATGTCAGTGACACTGGGCATTCAGAGCATGAATGTTTAAATTGTAGGTGAGGAGTTTCTTCCTGCTGCTACTATTTACAGCATTGTAAGTTTCTTTAATCTCCTAGAGAAAAAAAACCATTAGAAACTTTAGGGTCCAATTCTTAGTAACTGCATGCCATCGCCAGCAACGCATGAAATGGGCCCAAGATCATTGAGATTGGAAGAAAATGGCCTGGTCTGATGACTCAAGATTTCTACGCCGATTACCGACAGAGGCTACGGCACCTGGATGCACTGTTGGGCGGACACAGGCCAGCAGCGGTGGCGGTGTTATGCTGTGGGCGATGTTTTCTTGGGACATTTTAGGCCCCAATATCCCAGTAGTGCAGTCTCTGACAGCTGTCAGGTATATGAACATTGTTGCAGACCAAGTGCACCCATTCATGGCAACTTTGTTCCCTGATGGCCATTAATGCAGAAGTATACTTTGCTGTTCAATTCAATTCAAGTTTATTTGTACAGCGCTTTTCACAATACAAATCATTGCAAAGCAACTTTACAGCAAATTAAGTTTCTACAATATTTAGTGGTAGCTTATCAGTGGTGACTGTCAGTCAATGTACATATGGCAGAAATGTACGGAAAAATCAATTAAAGACGTAATCAAACAGACGATGAACACTATTAACAGCAATTATTATATGATGCAATCAAACACGTGTTGTTGTACACGCACGCTAGCGTATTCATACAGTCAAACATGTAGCCTTTCAAAGTATTCTCCATTTGATTTTGTGTGTGAATGCGGGCGGTCGACACGTGCGCTCTTGAAGCTTCATCCATGTCCAGTGTCTGCTCTTTTTTTCTCCATAATTTATGACTGATAACAAATATTTTTGAACACTTTTAAACCAAAGCTGGGCTATCCCATTCCATCTCGCTCACAAGCGCTTGGCAATGCGGCTATCTGTTGTCTGTTGCTATCCGTCTCTTAT